CGGTAGCACAATCTCTCATAAACATTTAGTTACAGGCAACGATGAGGGCTCCTTGGCTTTAGTTCTATCTATTGTATCTGAGGACTAGAAATCATCGTCCCAAACGGAGCCAGAACACGTTTTTGACAGGCGAGTGGATCTTCCAAATACAGCCCCGGGGTTGAAAGTTCCGGAGAAGAAATAGTTCCCTCTTTAAGAGGCTGTATCTCAGTTGTTCTTGGGTCTACGGTCAAAACAATTAGTGTTCTGGAATCACCAATCATTGTGAGCATACTACTCGGAAAACTGCTGAAAAACATAACTGCCAAACGCTACGTTTTAGCGACTTGATCCGTCCAGGCAAACTTGTTGGGAATTCGATTGTGCACCTGTACAAGTGATTTGGAAGTGTTGGAACAATTAGTTCTTGAGATATTTGCTGTCAAACTTTGAAATTTTGGAATTAATTTTGAATTCTCTCCCCTTTGCTATTGGGCCTAGAGCCTAGAGATTTTTAAGGGGAATATTTACACCTCGGTGCGCATCTGCATGATTTTTTGTTTTTGTAAGCGATTCGGAGCATTGGTTTAGGAGTTAGGTTTGGTATAATAAATCGGCGGAATAATAAATAATAATAATAATAATAATAATAATCCGAGCGATTACAATAGGTCTCCTGCCTAGAGGCAAGGAGCCCTAATGATCGTCTCTTGTGCTGGTCTTGAAGCTGCCACCTGTGCGATAGCAGCGAGCGTGTTTACGATAGAGTGTCTGTATACTATCGCAGCTATAAAGGCACGTACCAGTAACGTATTACTGACAATACTGTTTCAGATCAGGCGTGAGTGATCTAAACGACTGAAGTTAAATTTTGCTTCAAGCCGCATCGCCCCATACATCAAAGGCAGTTTGTTTAAAGTGTTTAATGTAGCATCAACGAATCGTTGTGAAACTGAAGAGGTAAACACACTTGTTATAGGAATTCCTTGTACTGGCGATCCTTGTCTGAACATGGCGACCGTTCTCGAAAAGAACAAGACAAACGTTTTCCAACTAATATAAAATAGATGGGTGAAATAGACCTTGTGTTATGAATACGAGATGGAGAATAATTAGAGAGGTTACATCCGATATTATACCAAGTCTATGATTTTTTTACTAATCAGTTGCCTGCGGAATCTCTGCTAGCGGGCGGACGACTCTTTTAAACCGAATCTAATTATCAGATAAAAAATGTGCTTGTTAAGTTTTTCTGACCTGCGGGTGTTGCGTAGGCATTACAGCTGATTCGTAAAAAACAACGTTCGCCAGAGCTTGTTGCTACCCTTCTTGGTGATCCTCGCCAGGGCTAGTTCTGTAGATCACCTTTACCGTTAGGAGGCAAACAGCAGATTACATGTTCAGTACACCACCTTCAATATCGGGAGGTGTATTACAGGTTACATGTTCAGTAGGCCACCTTCAATATCGGGAGGTGTATTACAGGTTACATGTTCAGTAAACCACCTTCAATATCGGGAGGTGTATTACAGGTTACATGTTCAGTAGACCACCTTCAATATCGGGAGGTGTACGGCAGGTTACATGTTCAGTAGACCACCTTCAATATCGGGAGGTGTATTACAGGTTACATGTTCAGTAAACCACCTTCAATATCGGGAGGTGCATGGCAGGTTACATGTTCAGTAGACCACCTTCAATATCGGGAGGTGTATTACAGGTTACATGTTCAGTAGACCACCTTCAATATCGGGAGGTGTATTACAGGTTACATGTTCAGTACACCACCTTCAATATCGGGAGGTGTATTACAGGTTACATGTTCAGTAGACCACCTTCGATATCGGGAGGTGTATTACAGGTTACATGTTCAGTAGACCACCTTCAATATCGGAAGGTATATGGGAGGTTACATGTTCAGTAGACCACCTCAATATTGGGAGGTGTATGGCAGGTTACATGTTCAGTAGACCACCTTCAATATCGGAAGGTATATGGGAGGTTACATGTTCAGTAGACCACCTCAATATTGGGAGGTGTATGGCAGGTTACATGTTCAGCAGACCACCTTCAATATCCGGAGGTCTACTTGCCCGTTACATGTTCTTCCAGATAGTGAAAGTGGTCTACTGAACCTGGAACTTGCAAGCAGACTTCCTGGCAGTGATAGGGTCTGCTGAACATGTAATCTGCCACAGACTTCGGGATAGTGAAGATGTTTTTCCGGATAGTGAAGTTGGACCACTGAACCTGGAACTTGTGGTTCACCTTCACTATCCTGAAGTCTATCGCAGGTTACACGTTAAATAAACCACCTTCACTATCGGGAGGTCTACTTGCAAGTTATAGGTTAAGTAGTCCACCTTCACCCACTCTGTCTGATATGAATCAAACTTTTTCCGATTGTGTCTGTGATATAAGACTGAAAGGAACTGAAGTCTTTGAAAGAATTGCTCATCAATTCAGACAATTTGTTGCAAGAAATTCATCGTCAAGAGAAATATACATGTACATTCCATGTCGATGACACGGAAATTTCATTTAAACTTAATTTTGAATGTATACGATCAGTCTAGGGGGAACTAGAAGATCAGTTTATATAAATAATAGAAAGTATTGAATTTGGGGTTTTATGCATTGAGACACTGGTCACTTATGTAATAACTTCATTCCACTTCATGCAGGGCACAGACAACATTGACTACGTGTTGTGTTTCATATACATGTCGATAGTTATCCGTCTCTAATACGAAGGGTTGCGAAAGAAGCCTAGAAAATATACTCGGCGTTAATAATGAAGGGTCAAGCTATTGGTAACACTATTACTTAAAAGCTGCAACATCTTCGGCTTTGTTTGAAATATTTACAACGAAATGTTTTACAAACTGTTTTTACAGTCTGGAAAAATACACCAAGCCGTTGAAATGCCATTATTACTCTCTTTAACGTCCGATACATTCTGTTACAAATGGCACATTTTTCATTCAAATTCACTTAATGTCAATGATCTGTACGTGCAAGTCGCCCTATCCATGGAAAGTGGAGGACAATACACATGCATTGATGCTTTTTCACAGTCGTTCACTTTTCAGGTACCTGTTTTTTCACACTTGCTGATAGGGGTCAGGCTATAGGCCTTGTGGAATCTGGTCAAACTCAGCGGCAGGTTGCTGTCCGCTTCAGTGTGAGTCAGAGTGTTATTAGTTGACTGTGGCAGAGATTTCAAGGCAATGGGTCCGTGGAATATGCACGTTGGCCAGGTCGCCCCAGAGTCACAACAGTCCGCGAGATAGGCACATGATTAACACTACGTTACGTAACAGATTCCTTAACGCAGTAGATCTTCAGACAGAACACTTCAATGTTTACAATGTAAGGATATCCAGGAGCACCGTTCGTCGACGTTTAAGGGCAGCCAGGCTCCGCTGTAGGTGACCTGCAGTTCGTCCACCACTAACACCGCGTCACAGGCAGGCGCGTTTGAGATGGAGTAGACATCATGGCCGCTGGAGTCAACGTCAATGGTCTCATGTGCTCTTCACAGATGAAGGGAGATTCAATTTGCCTTTCCATGATGGTCGGCAGAGGATTTATCGTCGCAACGGAGAGTGAATCACAGATGCAACTGTGGCCACGCATAACCGATTTGGCGGGGGGTCGGTCATGGTTGGGGCAGGGATAACTCCTTCTGGACGTACTCCACTGCACGTGGTCGACGGTAATCTTACCGGAAAGCGTTATCGGGACGAGCTTCTGGCTCATATAGCAATACCATTCCCGCAAGCTATGCATGGCTTTTATGGTCGACGCTCTTTACTGCAAGACGACAACGCTAGGCCTCATAAGGCCAGGATTGACACGGAATTCCTAAGGCAGCATGGTGTAGAGCGGATGGAGTGGTCAGCATGCTCGCCAGACCTCATCCCAAATGAGCATGCCTGGGATTAGTCTGTCTCACAGTCCCTGAACCACATTAATTTCCCTACTGCCAAGCCCTCTCTGCAGTGCTAAAGCCCTAAATAAAGCAAGTCTAGATTTCCTCAGGTTCAGGATCTCTGGTCTCCCTAGGGCTCCTTTTCAATATAAATGGGCTTGTTTGTTACTATCAAAAATTATATATATTCAGAGACTAAGCCTTAGTCTAGCCTGGGATGAGCTCGGTCGACTTGTCTACGCACGTCACTCAACACCAATGGATCTCCCAGGGCGCCGCAGAGCTCTAGCAGAGGATTGGAATGCGATTCCGCAAGCTTTCTTTATGAACTTGATAAGGAGCATGACAACAAGGTGTACTTGTGTATTGGACGCGCGAGGAGGGTACACAAGATATTGAATGACCGAGTGCTTCATATTTGACATTTTCATTTTGGGGGTTGGTCTCTACAACTGATGTTTGCTGGTGCTGTTTGAACATTTTGTCTGTATGTCACGATGTGTCACGTTTGTTACACATTAAACATTCTGATAACACTCTTAGTTCTATTATGTCTGAGAAACTTTTCTTTACATGTGCTATATATAATTTTCACCCTTTATTAATGACGCCTAGTATACTACTAGTATACTATAAATGCATTGTGCTAGAGATTTGAAGTTATATTCTCTATTTCATATAGGTCTTGCACAGTCTGTAACCTAACAGTATCCTTTGATCGATAGCGTAAAAACATTGTGTTAGATACCTCATGACATGTCAGCTTGGTCTTTAGTATTCGAATCTCCCCACCGGATAATCCTGGGCCTGTATTCACAAAGCGATCCTAGAGTTAGGATGTCCTAACTTGGTTCTGTCTATGTATTTGAATTGAAGCTATGATTAAGTTAGGACATCCCAGCACTAGGATCGATTTGTGAATAGCTAGCCTGGCTACCAGTTAGACCACCTGTCCTATCCCAGATCATGGTTAGGTTACATAAGCGGCATGTGTCACCGGGTCAGCACAGCTTTCAAACTCCTCTATCATAGCAGTATAACTGTATGAACTATTAACAACCACATCAGCCAGAAAAATAAGAAGTAGCATTGTTTCACATTTAATTACCATGAACAATTTGGATGTCAAAAGTACTTTACAACAGCGTAAGAGGGCATTAACACAGTGGCAAAGGTAACACACAAACAGGATGGTGGTCACTGCGCCATGTACATTATGGCACCAGATGCACCCTGGTCTGCTGACTTCTTGAGCCTTCAAGATCGCCTCATAATCATATCATTGTGCCTTCACAGAACCTAGGTATACAAGCATGAACACTCCAGCGGTCAATGGCCCGGCAACATGGCTCTGTATCGATGATTCCACAGCACTCACATTTTGATCATTGTATGACACTTCACGGCATCTGACAAACATCATGAGATGGTTTGGTGCAGGTGTGGCCTTTAAGAGTCAGATTAACAGGGGTCTTTACATCGGCGCATTTTTTTAAGTCTGTCATTTCAGTGGTTGGGGAACCGTGTGATATATTCATCCTAGGGCAACGATAGATGTTCCACCTGTCTGTTTCATGCATGGAAGCTGCCCGCATGCTGGTGGACTGGCCTGACGGCAAGGAGCAGCGGCCTTGCATCGCCATCATCCTACTGGGCGTCCTTCTCAAGCAACAAAGGCCGATGGTATAACGGAATGTATCACGGAAATTCTTTGACATAAAGCCATAGACGATTGGATTGACACAACTGTTGAAGTACGACATGAGCCAGAAAGCCTGTCTCATTGGCTTCAGGTAGCCGAAGCTCAGTTGTTCCAGCACACCAAACGAAACCAGAAGGTTGTTGACCATGATGGGCCCCCAGCACACAGCAAACAACACGATGACAGCTACCAGCATCTTGATCACCTGAAACGTGAACTGAACAAGCTTACGTCTAGCACCACCATTACCACATGCCTAGATCACACACGTTTAGGCAATGCATTCAACACAGATTACCCGTCGTTGGAGCGTCAGTAAAGGCGAACAGCGGAATAGACATAAAGCGATAAGGTATCTGGAACTAGAACCGAGGGTCAGAGACAGGAATATGAGAAGAATTTAAAAGTGTGCATATGAACTTTATTTGCTCGTGATATTGAACTACTTCGATATCCTTCAGAATGTTTGAAACGTTTGCAGATTTCATCCTTACAATACTAATCAAAGACACTTGAAAGAATTTATCTGACAAATATATACTATAGCTTTACTCAAGTCCTCAAGGACACTTGTCACTTGTAAAAACACATACAAGTTAGTAGGAGGCCAGTTCAAGAGCCTGGTTCCAACTTGCCAAGCTGTGACTCGTGGCAGTGATGCTATCTTTAGTTGTTCCAGTAAAAACGAGTTATCATCAGTCGCCACCCACCTGTTTCCTGGTGGAATCTTCATCCACAGCAAACAACTTCTTCCGCCGAACGGTAAAAGCATTCGGGGCTATTTTGTCTCTCCGCAAGGTCCCTGGCGTGGTGTCGCCATTCAGGAAGATCGTCTCCTGACAGGAGTACCGTAAGCTGGATGACAAAACAACATGCCCGTTACAAGAGCAGCGGTAACTAAAGCGTATGTTCTATTCTCATGTCATTCGTGGAAGCATGTCGCGGTTGACAGGCTGTATTTTATTCAGGGGTTGCAAATGAAGATAATTTGCTGATATTGTTGTTTCGTTTTTCTTAACAAGGCATCGAGGGGAATCTTTAAAAAAGAAACAACAACATGCTTGAATTGTCATTAATAACAAAGTCTTATGCCTTTCTTCATAAAGTATTTAACAAAAGCAACCAAATGAAACCGGTTTTCTATATAACTGGTGGGGTATAACATGGTTTACATAAACAGGTCATATCAACCACGCAGTCTGCCTCATTACGCTAATTAGTCTGCTTCTAATAGCCGACAGGCTAATGTTGAAAAAAAAAGCGTTAGGAGCTTGCTGTAGACTCACTTGTTTGCCCTGATAGAGGCTCTGTGATAGCGGACCAGCCACAGTTTCCTGCAGATACTGGCATACGCGAACGTCATCAAGGTCAAGGGCAGGAGGAAGATGAGGAAGAACATGTATATCTGGTAGAGCTGGTGGTAGATAGGGAGATCCCACTGCTCGATGCACCAGTAACCTTTTCGCCTGGATCCCACCAAGATGTGTTGCTGGAGTCAAAGCAAGCTCACATCACCACCTACTGTACATCTCTCAGTGAGTGAGTGAGTTTAGTTTTACACCGCACTCAATAATATTCCAGCTATATGGCGGCGGTCTGTAAATAATCGAGTCCGGACCAGACAATCCAGTGATCAACAGTGATCAACATCATGGGTATTTGTCCACCCAGTTAGCGAGCCTGACCACCCGAGTATCTCTCACACAATGATATTTATCAACCAAGTTAGCGAGCCTGACCACCCGATTATCTCTCACAGAAGGACATTTGTCAACCAAGTTAGCGAGCCTGACCGACCGAGTATCTCTCAAAGAATGACATTTGTCAACCATGTTAGCAAGCCTGACCACCCAATTATCTCTCACAGAATGACATTTGTCAACCAAGTTAGAGAGCCTGACCACCCGATTATCTCTCAAAGAATGACATTTGTCAACCATGTAAGCAAGCCTGACCACCCAATTTTCTTTCAAAGAAGGACATTTGTCGACCAAGTTAGCGAGCCTGACCACCCGATTATCTCTCACAGAAGGACATTTGTCAACCAAGTTAGCGAGCCTGACCACCCGAGTATCTCTCACAGAAGGGTATTTGTCAACCAAGTTAGCGATCCTGACCACCCGATTATCTCTCACAGAAGGATATTTGTCAACCATGTTAGCAAGCCTGACCACCCGATTATCTCTCACAGAAGGATATTTGTCAACCAAGTTAGCGAGCCTGACCACCCGAGTATCTCTCACAGAATGACATTTGTCAACCATGTTAGCGATCCTGATCACCCGATTATCTCTCACAGAATGACATTTGTCAACCAAGTTAGCAAGCCTGACCACCCGATTATCTCTCACAGAAGGACATTTGTCAACCAAGTTAGCGAGCCTGACCACCCGAGTATCTCTCACAGAAGGACATTTGTCAACCAAGTTGGCGAGCCTGACCACCCGATTATCTCTCACAGAAGGACATTTGTCAACCAAGTTAGCGAGCCTGACCACCCGATTATCTCTCACAGAAGGACATTTGTCAACCAAGTTAGCGAGCCTGACCACCCGATTATCTCTCACAGAAGGACATTTGTCAACCAAGTTAGCGAGCCTGACCACCCGATTATCTCTCACAGAATGACATTTGTCGACCAAGTTAGCGAGCCTGACCACCCGATTATCTCTCACAGAAGGACATTTGTCAACCAAGTTAGCGAGCCTGACCACCCGATTATCTCTCACAGAATGACATTTGTCGACCAAGTTAGCGAGCCTGACCACCCGATTATCTCTCACAGAAGGACATTTGGCAACCAGGTTAGCGAGCCTGACCACCCGATTATCTCTCACAGAAGGACATTTGTCAACCAAGTTAGCGATCCTGACCACCCGATTATCTCTCACAGAAGGACATTTGTCAACCAAGTTAGCGAGCCTGACCACCCGATTATCTCTCACAGAATGACATTTGTCAACCAAGTTAGCGAGCCTGACCACCCGATTATCTCTCACAGAAGGACATTTGGCAACCAGGTTAGCGAGCCTGACCACCCGATTATCTCTCACAGAAGGACATTTGTCAACCAAGTTAGCGAGCCTGACCACCCGATTATCTCTCACAGAATGACATTTGTCAACCAAGTTAGCGAGCCTGACCACCCGATTATCTCTCACAGAAGGACATTTGGCAACCAGGTTAGCGAGCCTGACCACCCGATTATCTCTCACAGAAGGACATTTGTCAACCAAGTTAGCGAGCCTGACCACCCGATTATCTCTCACAGAAGGACATTTGTCAACCAAGTTAGCGAGCCTGACCACCCGATTATCTCTCACAGAAGGACATTTGTCAACCAGGTTAGCGAGCCTGACCACCCGATTATCTCTCACAGAAGGACAAAATTGTTTGTTTTCAGCATACAATTGTCATGGTCCGTATTACAAAAATCCCAACATTTGGCAGCAATGATACAATATACGCTCGCAGTACGTACCTGCCCAATGAGTATTGGTACGCCCATGATGATACTAAGAACCCATAGTATGAGAACTGTTCTTCGTGCCAAGGCCACGGTGCAGGTGTACTTGGCTCTCATAGGGTGAAGGATGGCGTAGTATCTGAAAGTATAGTGCGGGTGTACATCGCTTATGGGAGAACTTCTAATCATCAATTCAAGGTAAGTAGTAGTACTCATGGAAACACATTTCTGTTAATTATTTCAGTGGTAAGAACTATTTCCGACATGAACACACATGATTATTTTACTTAACATAAATTTTATGAATTTAATATATCACAGTCAGCCTAACTGAACTATTTCACTCCGAGTTTTACAATGACTCAGAGAGTCGAATATTGGGAAACTCCTCTGCTGTCGTCAGGAGTAGTTTCTAATCAGCTAATCAGTAGAAGCGAGATCGTGCAAAATGATAAGTGCCAATGTCAACGCGTTATGGATATGTCACCAATCCGATCGTTTCTGAGCACCACGACCTTCACATCCCAAGTCGTGTTCTAAATGTTCTGGAGGTTTTACAGGTAGCTTAATATCCCTATGTTTAGATTGGGGGGTCGCAATTCGTTCAGTATTCCTTGATATGACGTACCAGAAATGCTCTGTCGATACGTATCATATCGGTGTAATTGTCAATATGTTTCAAGCCACTGGAAGCGTTTATTGACATATTCTGTAATACCAAAATATACCTTGAGACAGTTGGAAAAGACAGATGTGATTACTGTTGGAACTGGCCATGTCTGTAGGGATCATAAAGACTCTTAATAACATGCTTTAGGTCAAACAATCGGATGAAGGATTTAATCATGGCATCTGTCCCTATGGCATTGGCTATGACTATGGCTATACTCGGTTCAAAGTGTTTATTTCTTACGATGTAAAGTTCTGTGGAAACTAAGCCTATTGATTCAATGTAACCAAAATGCACAAGATTATGTAATCTTTGCCATATGTCTATAGATCAAAATAATTCGTTGGAAGGCAATCTCAGTCAGAAATAAGGAGGCACACACTCTATCAATTTAAGATCAGGAAAATACCAGCAGATTTCACTGTATACTTTAGAGGTGTGGCAGAATTTCAGAGATTACCGCTTCCACAAACATCTGACGTATTTAAACATACTTGCGCAATTCTGTGGTATCATAGTTGACTGATTCACACTGAACCCAAAAGATGGATATCCTAATGCCAGCCATTTCAAAGTTCTATGGGGAGAAATCTTACATTGCATTCAGCCGTTCTGCAGTACCCTCACAGTCGCTGAGTGTTATCGGCAACATAACAGTACATCACGTCTCCCTTGAGTGTTATCGGCATTATTACAGTACATCATGTCTCCCTTGAGTGTTATCGGCATTAATACAGTACATCATGTCTCCCTTGAGTGTTATCGGCATTATTACAGTACATCATGTCTCCCTTGAGTGTTATCGGCATTAATACAGTACATCACGTCTTCCTTGAGTGTTATCGGCAATATTACACATCACGTCTCCCTTGAGTGTTATCGACATTATTACACATCACGTCTCCCTTGAGTGTTATCGGCAATATTACACATCACGTCTCCCTTGAGTGTTATCGACATTATTACACATCACGTCTCCCTTGAGTGTTATCGACAATATTACTGTGTCTCACGTCTCCCTTGAGTGTTATCGGCAATATTACACATCACGTCTCCCTTGAGTGTTATCGACAATATTACACATCACGTCTCCCTTGAGTGTTATCGACATTATTACTGTGTCTCACGTCTCCCTTGAGTGTTATCGACATTATTACACGTCACGTGTTATCGGCATTATTACCTTGAGTGTTATCGGCATTATTACACATCACGTCTCCCTTGAGTGTTATCGGCATTATTACATCACACGTCTCCCTTGAGTGTTATCGACATTATTACAGTGTCACGTCTCCTTTGAGTGTTATCGGCATTATTACAGTTACACATCGTCTCCCTTGAGTGTTATCGGCAATATTACAGTGTCTCACGTCTCCCTTGAGTGTTATCGGCATTATTACACATCACGTCTCCTTGAGTGTTATCGGCATTATTACTGTGTCTCACGTCTCCCTTGAGTGTTATCGGCATTATTACAGTACATCACGTCTCCCTTGAGTGTTATCGGCATTATTACACATCAAGCCTCCCTTGAGTGTTATCGGCATTATTACAGTACATCACGTCTCCCTTGAGTGTTATCGACATTATTACAGTACATCACGTCTCCCTTGAGTGTTATCGGCATTATTACACATGTTATCATTATCACTCCCTCCTTGGTGTTATCGGCATTATTACAGTACATCACGTCTCCCTTGAGTGTTATCGGCATTATTACACATCACGTCTCCCTTGAGTGTTATCGTTATCGACAATCACGTTACTGTGTTATCGGCGTCTCCTTTGAGTGTTATCGGCATTATTACAGTACATCACGTCTCCCTTGAGTGTTATCGGCATTATTACAGTACATCACGTCTCCCTTGAATGTTATCGGCATTATTACACATCAAGTCTCACTTGAGTGTTATCGGCATTATTACATATCACGTCTCCCTTGAGTGTTATCGGCATTATTACAGTACATCACGTCTCCCTTGAGTGTTATCGGCATTATTACAGTATATCATGTCTCCCTTGAGTGTTATCGGCATTATTACAGTACATCACGTCTTCCTTGAGTGTTATCGGCAATATTACAGTACATCACGTCTCTCTTGAGTGTTATCGGCATTATTACAGTGTCTCACGTCTCCCTTGAGTGTTATCGGCAATCTTACAGTACATCACGTCTCCCTTGAGTGTTATCGGCAATGTTACAGTACATCACGTCTCCCTTGAGTGTTATCGACATTATTACAGTACATCACGTCTCCCTTGAGTGTTATCGGCATTATTACAGTACATCACGTCTGCCTTGAGTGTTATCGGCATTATTACACATTACGTTTGGTTTTACGCCGCTTTTAGCAATATTCCAGCAACATCACGGCGGGGGACACCAGAAATGGGCTTCAACGTCTCCTTAGGGTGTTATCGGCATTGTTACAGTACATAACGTCCCTCTTGAGTGTTATCGGCAATGTTACAGTACATCACGTCTCTCTTTAGTGTTATCGGCAATCTTACAGTACATCACGTCTCTCTTTAGTGTTATCCGCAATCTTACAGTACATCACGTCTCCCTTGAGTGTTATCGACATTATTACACATCACGTCTCCCTTGAGTGTTATCGACAATATTACTGTGTCTCACGTCTCCCTTGAGGGTTATCGGCAATATTACACATCACGTCTCCCTTGAGTGTTATCGACATTATTACACATCACGTCTCCCTTGAGTGTTATCGACATTATTACAGCGTCACGTCTCCCTTTGAGTGTGTTATCGGCATTATTACAGTCTCACGTCTCCCTTGAGTGTTATCGGCATTATTACACATCACGTCTCCCTTGAGTGTTATCGGCATTATTACAGTACATCACGTCTCCCTTGAGTGTTATCGGCATTATTACAGTACATCACGTCTCCCTTGAGTGTTATCGGCATTATTACAGTACATCACGTCTCCCTTGAGTGTTATCGGCATTATTACACATCACGTCTCCCTTGAGTGTTATCGACATTATTACAGTGTCTCACGTCTCCCTTGAGTGTTATCGGCATTATTACAGTACATCACGTCTCCCTTGAGTGTTATCGGCATTATTACAGTGTCACGTCTCCCTTGAGTGTTATCGGCATTATTACAGTGTCTCACGTCTCCCTTGAGTGTTATCGGCATTATTACAGTACATCACGTCTCCCTTGAGTGTTATCGGCATTATTACACATCAAGTCTCCCTTGAGTGTTATCGGCATTATTACATCACGTCTCCCTTGAGTGTTATCGGCATTATTACAGTACATCACGTCTCCCTTGAGTGTTATCGGCATTATTACAGTACATCACGTCTCCCTTGAGTGTTATCGGCATTATTACAGTACATCACGTCTCCCTTGAGTGTTATCGGCATTATTACAGTACATCACGTCTCCTTGAGTGTTATCGGCATTATTACAGTACATCACGTCTCCTTGAGTGTTATCGGCAATATTACAGTACATCACGTCTCCTTGAGTGTTATCGGCAATGTTACAGTACATCACGTCTCCTTGAGTGTTATCGGCATTATTACAGTACATCACCTCTCCCTTGAGTGTTATCGGCATTATTACAGTACATCACGTCTGCCTTGAGTGTTATCGGCATTATTACACATTACGTTTGGTTTTACGCCGCTTTTAGCAATATTCCAGCAACATCACGGCGGGGGACACCAGAAATGGGCTTCAACGTCTCCTTAGGGTGTTATCGGCATTGTTACAGTACATCACGTCCCTCTTGAGTGTTATCGGCAATGTTACAGTACATCACGTCTCTCTTTAGTGTTATCGGCAATGTTACAGTACATCACGTCTCTCTTTGAGTGTTATCGGCAATGTTACAGTACATCACGTCTCCCTTGAGTGTTATCGACATTATTACACATCACGTCTCCCTTGAGTGTTATCGACAATATTACTGTGTCTCACGTCTCCCTTGAGGGTTATCGGCAATATTACACATCACGTCTCCCTTGAGTGTTATCGACATTATTACACATCACTTCTCCCTTGAGTGTTATCGACATTATTACACATCACGTCTCCCTTAGTGTTATCGGCATTATTACAGTGTCTCACGTCTCCCTTGAGTGTTATCGGCATTATTACAGTGTCACGTCTCCCTTGAGTGTTATCGGCATTATTACAGTACATCACGTCTCCCTTGAGTGTTATCGGCAATATTACAGTACATCACGTCTCCTTGAGTGTTATCGGCAATATTACAGTACATCACGTCTCCTTGAGTGTTATCGGCATTATTACAGTACATCACATCTACTTGAGTGTTCTCGGCATTATTACACATCACGTCTCCCTTGAGTGTTATCGACATTATTACAGTGTCTCACGTCTCCCTTGAGTGTTATCGGCATTATTACACATCACCTCTTCCTTGAGTGTTATCGACATTATTACAGTGTCTCACGTCTCCCTTGAG